AAATTTTCCCCAATTTCTAGGGTTTGAGTGACTTGAAACTTCTTGATTTCTACTTACTTCCAATCAATTGTGGTATGGTTATTCTAGCTTTTGCAAGCTCATTTCTTCAATTTCTCTTTGTTTTACCATGTTTTACATGTTCAAGTATGATATGTGGTATAATTGATATTGTTAGTCATGGCTTGTTTGATTTAAGTGGTTATTGGGATTTCCTTGTTGTAATTGGTTGGTTGTTGTTAGTAGAACTTGTTTCATGATGAATATGCATGTATGACTTGGGTTTTCATGATTTCAATTTGTTTGCTTGAATGTGTTAATCTTTCACTAGGTTGTTCATGCTACATTTTGATTGAGAAATTCTTGAGTTGGATGGAATTTTGTGGCTATTACTCATTGTTCTCGGTTTGATTTCGATGAGTTTTGAGTGGATTTCATGAATTTTAGGGGACATCATGCCCAATTTCGCCTAGGTTTTCTTAGGATTTGCATTCGATTGCCATAGGATTTTTAGCTCATGCCTTGGTTTATAAGTGTCCATTAATGCCTTGAATTGTATTGTTGCTACCGTCTACATCTATTTCACAACTCATGGCTTTTACTCTCATTGCACACACTTTTAATCTCGGCGAGCTTCTTGTGCCCCCTTTTGGCTTGAATCTTCCTAATGTTAATTCTTGGCGATTTTTGTAGATTCACAATGCATCTTTTTGGCAAAATCAAGTCCAAGAGGAAGAGGACGGGTGAATCTTCATCGTCAAATTTTCCTCCTCCACCCGGCATCTATGATCATGGCATCATCGCTCCAAACAAACACTTTTGGGATGTCTATAAAACCCTCATAGACCGTCCCATACGATCTACAAGGTTCTTCTGCGGGAACACCTTAAGAAAGCTTGGCATCATGGATGAAGTAGTCCGGCTCGCACAAAACTTTGGTTGGGGCGAGTTCATTGACCTCCACGCTCACACCTATGAGCGCGTCACATTGGAGTTCCTTGCTTCCCTCCGCAAGGAAGTCATTGAAGAAGATGATGAAGGGAATGAATCTCAAATTATTCTTCACTTTCGTATGTTCAACGAAGACCATTTCCTAACCGAGAGTGAGCTCAATGAGATCTTCCATTGGCAAGAAACCGGGATGCATCGACCTTCCGATATGACCTCAATGTGTCGCATTCCCTATAATGAACAAGAATGGTGGCAGAGCATCTCCACCAAGCCCATCTTTCGCACTAACACCGCAAAGGTCAACAACATCATCCATATTGCTTTGAGATACTTTGCCCGGCTCCTTCAGTATGCCGTATTCTTCAAGGCAAACCTCGGCTCTATGGTGAAAGATGAGGTAGCTTTCCTTTACTTGGCCGACAATCCTCAGCGTTTAAAGTTCAAATGCTCCACCACTTTTATCTCGAGATTGTTGGACACTCGAGATGGGCGGCTTGGTGATGAGATACACATGGGGGGCATGATCACCCTCATTTCCCTTTCTTTGAATGGTGGAGCTTACAAGGACCAAATTGATTTGCTCCCCCATGTGCTCCAAAACAAAGAAGAAGAGGCCGTCGGCTACCCTCCTTATGCTCTTTCTATTGTTGCTCTCCGCAACCAACGCTTCATCAACTACTCCACCCAGAATCGCAAATTTATCCTCTTGGTAGATAATGGAGAAGAATGGTGTGTCCTCCCGGATCCTCCTCACACTTCGGTAGACCCTTCCAACCCGCTAAGGTGGAAGATTGCGCGAAAATTCATCCCTGATGAATTAAGGAAAAAACAAGCCCGCGGTGCAATCCCTCACCCTCAACCGGTCTACCAAGTGGAGCATCCCTTTCCCCCCCCCCTAGTGGGGGAGGTGAGACATCTTCTTCTTCTTCCTCTTCTCCTTTTGATATGAGTGCCCTGCGTAGTACCCTCGATGGTATTCGTTTTGATAATCAGGCTTCTATTGAACAATGGGGGTACTACGCAAGGATGAACTATGATAGTCTTGTGCAAGCGGGCGTTCAAACGCCCTATGTTAACTATCCCTACCACCCGCCTCAAGAGGGTCCAGTTCCACATTGGGACCCCTATGACCCTAACAACCCCTCCCCCAACACCTATGCTTATTGGGAAGGTCCTATCGACCCATCCCAACGTGTTGGTACCCCACCATACAACCCCCGGCCGGGTGGGTGTGACTACGCCTATGATCCGGCAAGTCCATCAACCCCGAATCCTTTTGATGGTGGTTGGGGTACACAAGGGTGGCTCTATGAGCACTTTAACCAACCTTTCCATCCATTCATGGATCGCCCGAGGTTTGATTTCATGAACCCTCCTAAGGAACGGGAGGATAGAAACCCCCAATGAGGGTTCTCTCCCTCCCTTTCCTCCCCCCGGACTTTCATGCCTATTCCTTTTGCTCGAGACGTGCAAAAGACTAGCGTGGGGGAGGATGTTCCTTTTGGTTGAAGTGTACATAGGAGGGTAGTGTGGTAGGATGGTAGCTTGTGCATATGGAGAACCATCAGGGATAATGAATTTATTGTAGTTAGAGATGATTTTTGGTTGGTAATATTCTTATGATGATGATGTTATGAACCATTAAAAAAAAAAAAAAAAATATATATATATATATATTTTTGAAGTGGTTTTTCCCTCTTCTCTCTTGATCCCATAATCCAAATCCCAAAATCCAAATCTCAAAATCCAAATCCCAAAATCCAAATCCCTTAATCCAAATTTTGTAGATAGCTTTTTGTCAATCATTTTCTTTTGTTTATAATTCTAGTTTTTTCCTTTTGTTCACTAACTTTTCTTTGTATAGTTGTAGTGTTTCTTTTCTTTTGGCTCACTTTCCTTGTAGCTTGAAAACGGAAGCACACAATGATGGGATAAGGAGCAACTCAAGCTCCGGAAACCTTGGTGAGATCGCAATTTTGCCTTGTGTTCTATTTCAAGCAGCATTTGGTGAGATCTTTCCCTACTTTCCTTTATTTTTCTTTGTGTGCATAGTTAGTTTAGACTAGAATGGAGTTGATTGTTCGAGGTTGTTTGCATTTGATTCCTCGGAATCTGGTGATCGTTGGTATTGATGCCGAACGATCTTTGTTTGTCGATTGAGAATTATATGTTTACTAGCCTCTTATCTCTCTTGTACTCCTTGCATTAAAAAAAAATAAAAAAAAATTCGAAAAATGTGAAAAAAATGAAAAAGATTTTCCTTTTTATTCATGGCAAACCACGAAAAGCTTAGTTGTTTCATTTTTATTTCGAGCATAATAATGTTGACTCGTGTGTTTGAATGCTTTGCTTCTTGAGTGTTATAAGTTTGCATGCTTCAGGATTGCCATTGGTTGACTCTGGGACATGTTCATGCTAAGGTAGTTGTTCTAGAACTCGTTAGGCCCATCGAACCCAAATTCACTTGTTTGTGGTAAGAAGGTGTTGCTCTCATTAGGGGATTTGAAGCCCTAGAGATGGTTTTTGTAACCCGATGTGAGCTTTATTGTTCAAGCCTCCAACATTACTTGTATGAGCGGCGTAGGATCCTCACCAAGGCATGCTTAGATCTAGAACTTGGCGTCTGGCTCCCGAGATCGAGACCGAACTAACCTACGAATGACAAAGGCATTCTTCATTCGGTGACTATTTTTGTTTTCTAGTATTAGTTTTTTTTTCTTTTGTATTTTTGGGTTGCATTTGCCCTTACCATGTTGAATCTTCCCCTCCTTGATTATAGCACATTGCAAGCCCATGGCCCTTTTGTTTTACTTTCACCCTTAGAATCGTGAAGCTCAAGCCATGAGGGCTTATTGTAGTTTTGATTTGAAATTTGGAAAGGAATGGTTCTACTTGGAAAGTGAAGCAGTGTTTTTGTGAATATATGTTCAAGAAAAGCAAATGTAAATCCTAGAAAAAGCCTTTGAAGCTAAAAAAAAAAAAAACAGAGAGAATGTGACAAACGAAAAGTTGATGAATGAAGATGTAAGAGGAAAGCGAAAGCTCAAAAGTGTTTGGAATTATAGTTCAAGATTGTGGCAACGTAGTTTGAAAATTGGTTGATGATTGATTTTGAAAAAGAGGCTTGATCACCCTTTGCTTCACGGTTAGGCTAAGCACCAATTTCCAAATTCCTCCACACCCTTACCCCCTAGCCATCGTTACAACCCTTTCAATGCCCTGTTGACCTAGGTTGGTTGAGTCACTAATCGGTGGAGGGAGCTGGAACTCAAGCATATGGAGAAGGCATGACTTGGTGAGATGTCGGGTTCCCCTATTTTGCAGTGTTTTATCTTTGTTCCGGCTCCTTCGAGGAGTCACTTGATGCTATCTCCAAGGGCGGATTTGAATCTAGATGAGGGAACGCGGTAAGATTGTATGGAATGCGGGGGGAGTGGTGCATGTTTGAGTTCTCTATGCTTATCATAACTTATCCTTCAATCAACTTTCGGCATCCCCTTGCATGCTCACTTCTACTACTCAGAAAGTTTGACACTCATTCATGTTTGTTATCTCCAAAAGCTCGATTTGGCTATGATTTGTGTTGGATTTGTTGTTTCTCTTTCCCTTGTTTTTGGTTTGTCTTGAACGCAATTTTGTAAGAGTTGTGGGGTATGCTCTCTGGAAACCCTCACGAGATCACAACTCGTCCTCATCGACGACCTTGGGGTTTAAATGGCTTGTTGCTTTTGCTAAAAGCAATTTCGGTTTTTCTTTTGTTCCTTGCATGTTTGAATAACTAATTCTTTCTCCCTTGTTCTTTTTCCTTTGCTTTGCTCGAGGGCGAGCAAATACTTAGCGTGGGGGAGTTTGATGAGTGACATTTATGTCACTCTTAGGGGTAGTATTTAGGTCTTTTTCCTCTTATTTTTCTTAGGTTTTTCCACCTCATTATCCTCTTATGGCTTCTTTTTGTGTTGATGAAAAGTAATGCTTATTTGCGCTTATTTTGATAATCTTTATGCATTATTTTATCATCCCCATGCTCTCGTGAACTTTGGTATCTTCTGCAGGTTCCGTGACGGTCCTATGCACGGTGGGAGGCCCCTTGGCCAAGTATGGAAGCCATGGACAAAGGCAAGAGGAGCAAAAGGGAAGGAGAGGAAGCAAGAAAAGGAAGTGCAAGAGGAGGTGTGGCCGAACCTCTGAAAGGTCCGGTCGAACCTTGGTGTGGTCAAACTTTTGAAAAGTTTGACCGAACCTCCAGGGTGCAGTGAAGGCAGTGTCAAACTAGTTTTCAGCAATTTTGCAGGAGAGGTCGAACCTCAAAAGTTCGACCAAACAAGGATTAGGGAGGTTCGACCGAACCTACACAGGGTTCGACCGAACCTACCCTGAGTCCGACCGAACCTACCCAGAGTTCGGTCGGACCTTTTCCCGATCTCAGCCAATTTTGTACGGACTATTTAAGGTCCTTTTGAGATCGTTTAAAAAAGAGAAGAGAGGAAGGACAGTAGCCTAGTTTTCAGAAACCTCTCTTAGTTTGAAACATTCCTTAGGATTAATTTAGCTTAGTTTTCATCAAATCAAATCATTGTACTAGTGAAATTCAAGAATTATTCTCAAAGTTTGGCAATTTGTATTCAACATTTGAAGCTTCAATTAGTAATTTCTCCAACCTTCTTCCTTTTAATTTCAGATTTTATTTGGTATTTGCATGTTATTTAAATCTTCTTAGTTCTTGGTAATTTGTTATTGGATGATAGTTATTTCAATTGTTAACCACTTTTCCCCAATTATTGAAGTATTTAGAACCCTAATTCTTGATTGCATGTTGATAAACATGAGTTGTGAGTAGTCTTCTTGCTAGGGGTTGGGTGAAGCTCGACCTTTTGGGTTAACTATGCAAATGTGGGAGAAGCATTGATGTTTGTATTGCAATTAAATTGATTATATGAGATTGCTTGTTAGTTCCTCATGATAGGTTTAGCTACCCTTGACTAAGGAGCTTGATAGTATGATATGCCTAATTTGACATGGAAGTGTAAATTGAGTACGTCATTACTTATTGTAATTTGATTATGTATCATCTATTGCTAAACTAATGAGGAATCTAAGTTTAGTAGTGTGAGTTGTTTTCTAATTGCATGAGGTTGATTTTACATATAGTCCTTGCTATATCTTGTCTATTTTACTCCCCGTTTGCCTATTTGCCTTGGTTGAGTGGATCTCATTCCCTAGTATCTTTAATTCATTGATTTAGAACCATAGTTTGTTTGTCTTCTTGACGAACCCCAATTCACCAATTGACTTCGAGTTAGCTTAAGTGTAAAGATCTTTGGCAATCATATCCTGTTCCTTGTGGACCGAACTCTTACTTGTCATTATGCTTGGTTTGTAAGGTGTTTGTTAATAAATGTGTTTGATTGAGTGTGGAATGTACGACCGTTCTAACGCCCACCAATATTCTTCAAAAAAAAAAAAATAACAATAACGTTCAGTCTTTATCAATATTTTTCAAAAAAAAAAACAATAATGTTCAATTTTTATCTTATCTAACAACCCATTTCATGATTAGATAAATTTTTTATAAGAGATTTATTTGCTACTCCACAAATATATAAGATAGGATGATATTAAAGATTTGTATACATCCTCTCAAAAATATAATTTTGATTTTTTTCAATTGTAAATAGACAATATATATATACTATACAAAAAACACAAACATGTGAATATTACTTATCTACACTTTTTCATGGTGTGAATTTTTTTCAGGTCTAATTCGTTGATTAACAAAAAATATTGGAATTAATGTAAGTATATCAAGGCTTTCTGATGGTAAACAAAATAAATTGATTGTTATTCATTATTTTATAAGATGTATGTTTTGTTTTATTTTACCTAATCTAAATATGTTACTTATCGTATTAAATTTTGTTAAACAACTTAATTGTAACTTAATATTAATTATTCTGTATTTGAAGGGATTATGTCCATGCGCCAATTGAAAGAAATTATTGCAAAAGTAAGGGTCTGTTCTCTTCAGCTTATTTTCACTTCAGTTCATAATTTCCTTCTCTCATAAAATATTCAGTTCAATTCAGCTTCAATCAGTTCAGTTCACCTCATCAGAACAAACCCTAAGTCAACTATAATGCTACAATAGTAGGGAAAAAAAAATTAAAGATTGTAAGAGATGTCTCTGATAATTTTTATTTTTTGTGTATTATAGTTTCTGGTAGAATATCTATATTTTTATTGTAAAAATCATTGTAGTAGTGTATACATATAACTCTATTATTAAGACATATGATAATGAAATTTCATTATAAGTGTTTCGGGGTTTTCTGATGTCCTGCGGGAGAGTTACAATTCCGGGACTGGTATCCTTGCGCCTGTACCTGCAAAACAACGGAGACTCCTTGTGGTGGGAGCTCCGCCTCCAACGGTCAAGTTAGTACTTGTTTGAGGAGTAATAAATGCGGAAAGTAAAGGTGGGAGATCTGGTTCCTCTAGGGGAGGAGTGATCAATGTGTTTAGACTTCTCTAGGTGAGAGTCCTCAATTGCTGAATCCCCTTTAATGAGGATTAATTAAGTATTTATAGTCTTGAGAAGCGTGCCAATCCTAGGTTTAGGTTAACCAGGGCAAATTGGGCTTCTCTCGGACTTTGGGCCTTGGTGGCCATTTTGCCTATTTGGCATATGGGAGGCCACGTGGCGTGGCCTGATTAGTCCATATTGGACCTCTTAGGGTGACAAGTGGCGGACGCTGATTGGCCCACGTGGTGGACACGTGGCAGGTCCGGATTGGTCCATTTGTCATGGGTAATTTTTACCCTAAACATTTGCCCCTCGGAAGGAGTAATTTCACTTTCCATGAGGGATTGCTCCTTTCGAAAGTTAGACCCTCGAAGCTTTGCTAGGTCGGCATCTTGTCTAGTTCTAATGGGAGATGGACTTGATTAACTTAGAAAATTTTGATACCTTGGGCGGTATGACATTTCAAGGTTAATCAATCATAATAATGATTGCCGCCGAACTAGACAGATGCCGATTCTTTGCCCCACTATGCAGATAGCCCCTGATCAGGTGGACTGTCAACTATTGCACAAGGGTAAGCATTTAGCATTATTCGGCCGTTGGCCTCTTTTGTTTGAGTAGTAGGGAAGCCAAGCGGCGGGGGCCAGATAGTCCCCTTGATTCGCCAAGTTTTTCTTGGCTATTAACTCAAAGGTTGTTAACCTAGCAGGAGTAGTGGTTGAGAGCCCCTGTTTGCTAAAAACAGGCGGGCGACTCATACCTTTTAGGCTCCATACTAAGTTTGAGAGAGTGACTATGAGTTAACATGGGAGTTACTCAGTCTCCGTCACACTCTAGCTTGAGTAGTAGAGGTACCAGGCGGCGGAGGCCGGCTGATCCCCTTGATTCGCCAATGTTTGTTGGCTATTAACCCAAGGAGTGGTTACCTAGTAGGAATAGGGGTTTGAGTGCCCCTGTTTGCCAAAAAACAGGCGGTCTACTCAAACCTTTTAGGTTCCATATCAAGTTTGAGGGAGTGCCTATGAGTTGACTTTGGTGTTACTCAGTCGCCGTCACTCCTGCTTGAGTAGTAAAGGTACCAGGCGACGGAGGCCGGCTGAACCTTTTGATTCGCCAATGTTTGTTGGATATTAACTCAAGAGGTACCCCCTGCATTTATCCCAAGTAATACAGGGGGTCATCCGACTCAGATGTCAACTGCTACCACTGGTTTGGTTAGTGATAAAGTTATCCTTGTCTCAAAAACGGCTACGTGGTTGTCCTTGGGGACAGTCGTCTAGGTGCCGTGTACTTAGTTTATAGAGCAATGTTCCACCCAAAAGGGAGCTGCTCTCTGCGACGAATTTCATCCGGAGGGTTGCCGCCGGACGCCTGCTATTATGTTGGGACAGGTCGTATTAGTTTAATTTTAAGGGAGGATCAGTCGGCCTGGCGCCTGGGCTGATCATCGGGCCTGTGGCCTTGGTTAGTTCTTGGCGAACGTAGGTGCTAAGTAAGAAGAGGGCAGCCGCTTGTTTAGGCACATGGTCGGCCTGGCCCTAATCTTTTTTAGCTAAGTATAAGGGGGTGGTTGTCTGTTTTGGAAACAGCCGTCCCTCTTCTATGGAGAGTGGCCGACTGTATGTCTAGACGGCATGCCCCTCTGGTGGAGTAAAATAACCAATGGAGAGTAGCCGCCCATAAAGGTACAGGCGGCATGCCCCTTTGAAGATAAAGAGTAAAATACTCAATGGAGAGTAGCCGACTGTAAAGGTACAGGTGGCATGCCCCTCTGAATCAGTATCAAGTATTGAAATCATTTCAAGTGTTAGAGCAGATGGATCACCTAGTTCCCTTCCATAAAGGATGGATGGTGTTATTAATGAGAGTCGGCTGCTTTCATAGCTACGAGACTTCATTGTATAGGGGGTCGGCTAGTATTCATGCCGCTTTTCTTGCCTGATAGACTGTCATGCAAACAAGTGGAGGTAATCCACGAAGAAAGACGGTCTTCAATAGAGTGCCGCCTATGCTGCCTGGTTTAATAACCTTAGGCAACATTTTTTAGGGCATCTTATACTTTTTTTTATTTTTTTTTATTTTTTTTTATTTTTTTTTTATCATAATAATGATTGAGGTCGCTTAAACCAAGGCTACGAAACCATGATAATCATACCACCAGACATTTGGCATGCCGCTTGCTTTCATTTGGCAAGACATCCAATCTTCTCAGCTTCAAAATCACGATGCATGATCATGATGATGTTGGGCTTAGCATAATGATGCTAGTTGTACTCGTACCCATGATAATTTTCTTGATGATAATTTCTTTCGTGTAACAGCCGGCTGTTTAGAGCTGGCAGGCCGGGTGCTTAGTGGCTGGGTTGGGGCCGGCTGCCGCCTGCTGGCTTTGAGGAACGATGCCTAGGAGCCGGTTGTTCAAGCATAGGTGTCATAAAGCTGGCTGTATTGAGGCAGTTGGGAGCCTTGTATTTTGACGCCTGCTTTCATTAGTTTAGCGAGGACACTAGGTGTAGTTAAACAGCCAAAGGCTTGACTAGCTAGGTGCATCTCTGTGCTCAACCACT